CCTGAAGGGCTCCAGGAGAGCTGGAGAGGGACTGGGGACAAGGATGGAGGGACAGGAGCCAGGGAATGGCTCCCACTGCCAGGGGGCAGGGATGGCTGGGAGATTGGGAATTGGGAATTCCTGGCTGGGCTGGAATTCCCAGAGCAGCTGGGGCTGCCCTGGATCCCTGGCAGTGCCCAAGGCCAGGTTGGCACCCTGGGACAGTGGGAGGTGTTCCTGCCATGGCAGGGCTGGGATGGATGGGATTTCAGTCCCCATCCCACTCCAGTTCCCCCATTCCCAAGATGGGATTCAGCCCCGATTCCCTGGCATTCCCAGGATGGGGTTCAGCTCCCATTCCCAGCATTCCCAGGATGGGTTTCATTCTCCATCCCAGCATTCCCAGGATGGGATTTCAACCCCCCATTCCCAGCACTCCCAGGATGGGATCCATCCCCCATTCCCACCATTCCAGCATTCCCAGGATGGGATCCATCCCCATTCCCGCCATTCCAGCATTCCCAGGATGGGATCCATCCCCATTCCTGCCATTCCAGCGCTCCCAGGATGGTATCCATCCCCATTCCCACCATTCCAGCACTCCCAGGATGGGATCCATCCCCGTTCCCGCCATTCCAGCACTCCCAGGATGGAATCCATCCCCCTTCCCACCCCATTCCAGCACTCCCAGGATGGGATCCATCCCCATTCCCGCCATTCCAGCATTCCCAGGATGGGATCCATCCCCCTTCCCACCCCATTCCAGCATTCCCAGGATGGGATCCATCCCCCTTCCCACCCCATTCCAGCATTCCCAGGATGGAATCCATCCCCATTCCTGCCATTCCAGCATTCCCAGGATGGAATCCATCCCCATTCCTGCCATTCCAGCACTCCCAGGATGGTATCCATCCCCATTCCCGCCATTCCAGCATTCCCAGGACAGCCTCACCCGTCCAGCCGCACGTCGGGCAGGCTGCGGTTCAGCGCGATGCGGTCGCTGGCCAGGAGGTTGAACTGGTTGATCTTGAAGAGCTCCTTCATCTTCTCCTGCTCCTCCCTGGGGATGAGCACGGCCCTGCCCATCTCCCCGGGGCCCTCCTGGCTCCGGGAAATCACGGCTGGAAAACCCAACAGCAAAAGGGGCCTCCAGCACTCGGGAGTTGGGTTTATCCTTTGGGAAACCCAACAGCAGAAGGGGCCTCCAGCACTCGGGAATTGGGTTTATCCTTTGGGAAGCTCCTGGTTGCCCACAAGAAATGCTGGAAATCCAGCCCCCATTCTCCCGGCTGTTCTGGGAGCTTTTATCCCTCTCTGGATCCAAGAACATCCAGTTTTATTCCAAGATGATTGAACCCTCCCGGATTTATTCCCTTTCACTATCCCAGGCTGCTCCAACACTTCCATGGATCCAGGGGCAGCCTCAGTTTCTCCAGGCACCCTCACAGAGCAGCTGTGGCCGCCCCTGGATCCCTGGAATGTCCCAGGCCAGGCTGGATGGAGCTGGGAGCAGCCTGGGACACTGGGAGGTGTCCCTGCCCACGGAACGGGATTTGAGGTCCGTTTGAACCCCACCCATCCCATTGAATTGTGGTGAAAAATTCAGATTCCACAACTCTAATAGAGATTTGTAGGGAATTGTATGTTTTTATCACAGCGCTGGGATTTTTCTTACAGGGATTTTTTTCTTACAGGGATTTTTCTTTAAAGGGCATCTGTGCCCCTTGGGGATTCTCCATCTTTTTCATTATCTCTTACTAATTTGCATATACATAGAACCTTACAATAGGTTCATATATATTCATTTTGCTGATATCACATTACAATTTACAGTTGGCCTTTTGTACAGAGAACTTTCTAATCCCTTAGTCTATTTTTTTTTGCAGACTTTGGGTTTTTTGGGGTTTTTTTGGTCTATTTTTTTGCAGACTTCACTTTGGTTTTTTCTTTAGTTTCAGAGTTCAAGGGGCCCTTCTTTTCTTTTCACTTTGGAGATTTTATTCTTTTCTCCTTGGCTAGGATGGTTTTACAAGCACGGCAGAGTTAAAATAAACAGCACATTTCACACATGTTACCAAGCCACTACACAACACACTTCACCTAAATCCAGATGGATTTTTCTACCCCGTTAAATTTTACTCTGTTTCACCATAAAGCACAAACTCAGAGTGATAGTAAAAGGGTTTTAAAAGCATGGGAATTTAGAGTTGAAAGGAAAATTAAGCTTAGTAGGCCCTGAGAAAATACCCTGGGAAAGTGTAAACCTTGTACCGTGCTAGAACTGCACTTGTAGCTAGTACATGATAAATTATATAATTGTGAGATGTGATGATTGTTTAGTAATTAAATATAATTACTGTTTAATCGTAAGAATAATCATGAGAAACTGTGGTCAGGGGCCTAAGAAAGATCATGAGAAACTCATGTCAATGTATACAGTAGAACAATATAAGTTTAATAATTTATATGTAAGTTATATAAGGATAGAATGTAAAATACGTTCAGCTTTAAAGCTGTGTTGGAGTCAGATTTGGGTTTGTACCCCTGATCCCAGAGCTCCCAATAAAAGCTCCTGCATGGAATCACATCCCGTGATTCTGGGAGTTCCTGAGCACTAACAAGAGAACACCAGAGCAGAATCCCACAGATTTGGGGTTTCCTGTGGTGTTTTGGGAGCCAAGGAGGATCCAAAGATCCCAGATCCCAGATCAAACATCCAAAGATCCCAGAGCCGTGCTGGATCCCACAGATTTGGGGTTCCTGTGGTGTTTTAGGAGCCAAGGAGGAGCCAAACCCCAGAGTCATGCTGGATCCCACAGATTTGGGGTTCCTGTGGCGTTTTGGGAGCCAAAGAGGATCCAAAGATCCCAGATCCCAGATCAAACATCCAAAGATCCCAGAGCCGTGCTGGATCCCACAAATTTGGGGTTTTCTGTGAGTTTTGGGAGCCAAGGAGGATCCAAACCCCAGAGCCCTGCTGGATCCCACAGATTTGGGATTTTCTGTGCGTTTTTGGAGCCAAGGAGGATCCAAACCCCAGAGCCCTGCTGGATCCCACAGATTTGGGGTTTCCTGTGAGTTTTTGGAGCCAAGGAGGATCCAAACCCCAGAGCCCTGCTGGATCTGCAGATTTGGGGTTTCCTGTGAGTTTTTGGAGCCAAGGAGGATCCAAACCCCAGAGTCATGCTCTGGACACCACAGATTTGGGGTTTCCTGTGAGTTTTTGGAGCCAAGGAGGATCCAAACCCCAGAGCCCTGCTGGANGGGCCTCCAGCACTCGGGAGTTGGGTTTATCCTTTGGGAAACCCAACAGCAGAAGGGGCCTCCAGCACTCGGGAATTGGGTTTATCCTTTGGGAAGCTCCTGGTTGCTCACAAGGAACGCTGGAAATCCAGCCCCCATTCTCCCGGCTGTTCTGGGAGCTTTTATCCCTCTCTGGATCCAACAACATCCAGTTTTATTCCAAGATGATTGAACCCTCCCGTATTTATTCCCTTTCACTATCCCAGGCTGCTCCAACTCTTCCATGGATCCAGGGGCAGCCTCAGTTTCTCCAGGCACCCTCACAGAGCAGCTGTGGCCGCCCCTGGATCCCTGGAATGTCCCAGGCCAGGTTGGATGGAGCTGGGAGCAGCCTGGGACACTGGGAGGTGTCCCTGCCCACGGAATGGGATTTGAGGTCCGTTTGAACCCCACCCATCCCATTGAATTGTGGTGAAAAATTCAGATTCCACAACTCTAATAGAGATTTGTAGGGAATTGTATGTTTTTATCACAGCGCTGGGATTTTTCTTACAGGGATTTTTTTCTTACAGGGATTTTTCTTTAAAGGGCATCTGTGCCCCTTGGGGATTCTCCATCTTTTTCATTATCTCTTACTAATTTGCATATACATAGAACCTTACAATAGGTTCATATATATTCATTTTGCTGATATCACATTACAATTTACAGTTGGCCTTTTGTACAGAGAACTTTCTAATCCCTTAGTCTATTTTTTTTTGCAGACTTTGGGTTTTTTGGGGTTTTTTTGGTCTATTTTTTTGCAGACTTCACTTTGGTTTTTTCTTTAGTTTCAGAGTTCAAGGGGCCCTTCTTTTCTTTTCACTTTGGAGATTTTATTCTTTTCTCCTTGGCTAGGATGGTTTTACAAGCACGGCAGAGTTAAAATAAACAGCACATTTCACACGTTACCAAGCCACTACACAGCACGCTTCACCTAAATCCAGATGGATTTTTCTACCCCGTTAAATTTTACTCTGTTTCACCATAAAACACAAACTCAGAGTGATAGTAAAAGGGTTTTAAAAGCATGGGGATTCAGGGTTGAAAGGAAAATTAAGCTCAGTAGGCCCTGAGAAAATACCCTGGGAAAGTGTAAACCTTGTACCGTGCTAGAACTGCACTTGTAGCTAGTACATGATAAATTATATAATTGTTAGATGTGATGATTGTTTAGTAATTGAATATAATTACTGTTTAATTGTAAGAATAATCATGAGAAACTGTGGTCAGGGGCCTAAGAAAGATCATGAGAAACTCATGTCAATGTATACAGTAGAACAATATAAGTTTAATAATTTATATGTAAGTTATATAAGGATAGAATGTAAAATACGTTCAGCTTTAAAGCTGTGTTGGAGTCAGATTTGGGTTTGTACCCCTGATCCCAGAGCTCCCAATAAAAGCTCCTGCATGGAATCACATCCCGTGATTCTGGGAGTTCCTGAGCACTAACAAGAGAACACCAGAGCAGAATCCCACAGATTTGGGGTTTCCTGTGGTGTTTTGGGAGCCAAGGAGGATCCAAAGATCCCAGATCCCAGATCAAACATCCAAAGATCCCAGAGCCGTGCTGGATCCCACAGATTTGGGGTTNGCCAAGGAGGATCCAAACCCCAGAGCCCTGCTGGATCCCACAGATTTGGGGTTTCCTGTGAGTTTTGGGAGCCAAGGAGGATCCAAACCCCAGAGCTGCTCTGGACCCCACAGATTTGGGGTTTCCTGTGAGTTTTGGGAGCCAAGGAGGATCCAAGCCCCAGAGCCGTGCTGGACCCCGCGGAGGCGCCGGCACTCACCGCGCAGCGCGGGCAGCAGCGAGCGCTCCTTGCTGTCCTCGCACTTGTTGCACTCGCTGAAGTAGAGCAGCAGGAACACGTCCAGCAGCAGCCAAAGCAGCGAGGTGGCCAACACCAGCCGGCAGTAGCCAAACCTCCTCATGGCCAGGCAGCACGGCGGGGTCACAGCCCCCGGGCGCCGATCCACCGGGCAGGCAGGGAGGAGCAGCCCGCTGCAGGAAGGGAAAAGGGAGCAGTTCCCATGGATCCGTGGGTAAATCATCTGTGGGACTCAGATTCAGGCAAAGAGAGAAACGGAGAGGTTCCAGCCAGGCAAAAAGCCTGGGAAAGAGCTGGAGAAGAATGTAAATAATTCTTTATCTCTTTTGTTATTCACATTGTTTATGGTTAAGTTCTATCACTGTGCATCAAGCACTGTACACCAATGGGTTGAGTTGTTTTCACTTCAGAACCAATGGATTTGATCCTTGTGAAGCTCTGTATAAAAGAGCAGGGTATTTTGAATAAATCAGAATTTTACTCTCAGCAGCCTTGGAGTCAGAGTCTCTTCATTCCCGTCCTGCCTCGACAGCGACAATCGTCCTCTCATTGAACATTGTTTGACCTTGAAATAGGCATCACCCTCAAATAACGCTTTTGGGTTTCGCAATGTGGAATTTTTATCCTGCCAAAGTATTTCGGACTCTGCCCCAAGAGCACCAAAGATTCCTTGGGCAGCAGAGTCACTGATCCAGGGTTTGGGCTCTGCCTGAATTAGGGAGTTTGGGAAACAGAGGTGAGGGTGAGGCCTCCATACCCAGTTCTGAAGGGTGGAGGCAGGCTGGGAGCCCCGGGAATGTTCCCCTGGAGAAGGGAAGGATCCAGGCAGAGCTCAGAGCCCCGGGAATGTTNGCCAAGGAGGATCCAAACCCCAGAGCCCTGCTGGATCCCACAGATTTGGGGTTTCCTGTGAGTTTTGGGAGCCAAGGAGGATCCAAACCCCAGAGCTGCTCTGGACCCCACAGATTTGGGGTTTCCTGTGAGTTTTGGGAGCCAAGGAGGATCCAAGCCCCAGAGCCGTGCTGGACCCCGCGGAGGCGCCGGCACTCACCGCGCAGCGCGGGCAGCAGCGAGCGCTCCTTGCTGTCCTCGCACTTGTTGCACTCGCTGAAGTAGAGCAGCAGGAACACGTCCAGCAGCAGCCAGAGCAGCGAGGTGGCCAACACCAGCCGGCAGTAGCCAAACCTCCTCATGGCCAGGCAGCACGGCGGGGTCACAGCCCCCGGGCGCCGATCCACCGGGCAGGCAGGGAGGAGCAGCCCGCTGCAGGAAGGGAAAAGGGAGCAGTTCCCATGGATCCGTGGGTAAATCATCTGTGGGACTCAGATTCAGGCAAAGAGAGAAACGGAGAGGTTCCAGCCAGGCAAAAAGCCTGGGAAAGAGCTGGAGAAGAATGTAAATAATTCTTTATCTCTTTTGTTTTTCACATTGTTTATGGTTAAGTTTTATCACTGTGCATCAAGCACTGTACACCAATGGGTTGAGTTGTTTTCACTTCAGAACCAATGGATTTGATCCTTGTGAAGCTCTGTATAAAAGAGCAGGGTATTTTGAATAAATCAGAATTTTACTCTCAGCAGCCTTGGAGTCAGAGTCTCTTCATTCCCGTCCTGCCTCGACAGCGACAATCATCCTCTCATTGAACATTGTTTGACCTTGAAATAGGCATCACCCTCAAATAACGCTTTTGGGTTTCGCAATGTGGAATTTTTATCCTGCCAAAGTATTTCGGACTCTGCCCCAAGAGCACCAAAGATTCCTTGGGCAGCAGAGTCACTGATCCAGGGTTTGGGCTCTGCCTGAATTAGGGAGTTTGGGAAACAGAGGTGAAGGTGAGGCCTCCATACCCAGTTCTGAAGGGTGGAGGCAGGCTGGGAGCCCCGGGAATGTTCCCCTGGAGAAGGGAAGGATCCAGGCAGAGCTCAGAGCCCCGGGAATGTTACCCTGGAGAAGGGAAGGATCCAGGCAGAGCTCAGAGCCCCGGGAATGTTCCCCTGG